ACAGGCGTCACCAACTGGCATCACAAACAGGCAAGCTAACTGACCACAACGACTGGCAACAACACAAAGTTCTGAGATTCATTAGGGTTTTGTCCTATCAGAGTAAGCAACAGGCGTCAACAACTGGCATCACAAACAGGCAAACTAACTGACAACAACAACTGGCAACAACACTAAGTTCTGAAATTCATTTGGGTTTTTCTCCCATCAGTAAGCAACAGGCGTCAACAACTGGCATTACAAACAGGCAAACTAACTGACAACAACAACTGACAACAACAGTAAGTTCTGAGATTCATTTGGATTTTTCTCCTATCAGTAAGCAACAGGCATCACCAGCTGGCTCACAAACAGGCAAACTAACTGACAACAACAACTGGCAACAGCAGAAAGTTCTGAGATTCATTTGGATTTTCTCCTACCAGTAAGCAACAGGCATCACCAGCTGGCTCACAAACAGGCAAACTATTTGACAACAACAACTGGCAACAACAGTGAGTGCTGAGATTCATTTGGCTTGGGGGCAAACCATTGATTTTCCACCAGCTGGCACCACCAACTAGCAAAGCACATATAGTAGTTTGACTTCTTTATTTGCTTTAGGTTGCCTTTTCTGCCATGAACATCACACCAAATAGTACGTGAACGCCAGTTGGATGCATACAACTATTTTTAGCCTGATTTAGCCCGATGGCAAGGTCGCAAGGAGCCAGTGGTCTAGGCAGTTGACTTGGAAAGACACTTGGAAGGCATAGTAGGGCATGGTTTTTGTTGTTTCATTGAAATTGGTAGTTGACAGTGGGCAGTTGTGCGTGGCATGTTTGAGTAAACAGTTGGCAGGTGCATGGCATGGCATGTCACTTTGTTGTAGCAATTTTGGCTCTGGCTTTGTGACGTCTGGCCTTTTTGGTTAATGGCGTGGCTCGGAAGATCCGCAAAGTTATTCGGAAGCGGGCTTTCTGGCTCATATCCATCTGATTCTTGATCTGCCACAAAGTCTTCCTTGGACGGTCCTTTAGACAATGGCTGAGGAGCATCCTTCGAAAGTGGAAGTATGAAAGCATCTGTTTCACTCTTGGAACCAGTAGGATCCCATGGTGTGGCAGTGATGCTTTGCAAAAGTTCCAAGCAAGCTTGTTTGGACGGAATATTCCGTCGAATGCTTCTGGTCTTAAGTCTGCGGCAAAGTGCATGTCTGACTCCGTATCGCGTCCAAGCCAGATTCCATCACGCCATGAAAGTTGAGTCTTTCCGACATTCGCAACTCGGAACATCAAAGTTTCTGCGAAGTTGCAGATAGAGCCATGATACTTCCGGCCCCATACGCAGAAAGCCCATCTGATTTCTGCAAGTATCTGTTGATCAACCACTGTGCATGTCGGAGAAGCCATGGGTAAAGTGAGCTGTGAACTGAGATTTCAACGTCATCATACCTGGATTTGACATCAGTAAGCAAAGTGCGAATCTGTGTATACAAGGTAGCCTGCATGTTTCCAACAGACCCTTGAGCTTGTTTCCATCCTGTTGGTGAAGTTCGGTAAGAAAGTCCTCCAACCTGGCCTGTCAATGTCTGAGCCAGTTGTTTCAAGGATGGCTCAGGATCCGCTTGCAAGATGCCAAAAGTTCGTCCAGCATCCAAGACAAACCGACGAAGTTCAGCTTGCGCATAAACAGAACGGCCTTTGCAAGGAACAACGACGGAAAGTGCAAGTCCACTCAGAGTGTCAACAACGTTCAAACAGGTGATTTGTGGCTCGCCAGGTTTGTCTCCAATGAACGAATAGTCCATGTGAAGAATTGGCTGACGAGACTTCAAAGTCCTGCTGGGATTCTGCCTTGACTTGGATTGAACGCAAATTCTGCACCAACTTCGGAAAGGTAGATGGGTCAAATTGTGTTCCATCACCTCAAGTTCAGTTGGTTCTCCAGGTGATTTCACACCTTTGGCGTTTTGCGCCAAAGTGTCGTCAACAGCGGGAACAGGATCATCTCCAAAGTTCAAATCAACCTTGCAAAAGCACGTTGCACCAACAAAAGTTCTGTCAAGCTCAATTTCACCACGCCCATGCCAATTGTCATGTACCCATTGAGTGGCATCATTCTCACTGATGATCAAAGTCATACGTGCCTCCTCAATGTCCTGCAAAACAAAACTCTGACTGTCGTCAGGTGGCACATACAAAGTCTTACGCTTCTCATGGTGCACACGAACATAAGAGGTCGGAAAGTCCAACCATCGATCATGGACGTACTGCTGAGAAGTCGCAGGGTCAATGTCGGCAACTGCTTGCAGAACAAGTGCCTTGAAGTCATCCAAAGTGCCTTCTGTTGCCTTGTCCAGCCTGGAGGAGAAAGTATCTTCAACCTGTGCTTCTTGTCCATCTGGTGTTGTCAAAGTACAGGTATCAGGGGAGTTCATGTTGACCTTGTATCCTTGTAAAAGTAATCGGGCAACCGAAATGACTGGGTAAGGAACATCACAAACGTAAAGTGAAAACACGCAGGAAAACCATCCAAAGTCATACGAATCAACCGACGACCATAAACATGAAGAGGTTGTCCACTGATGCTTCTCAAAGGTGGAGGTTCACCGTTTAACGGTAAAAGTGGCCATTCACTGCCAAAGTCCTTTGGGCAGCAATTGGCTGAAGCTCCACTGTCAAACAGAATCCAATGGTTAGCATCCAAAGTTGTTGATGCCACCAAATGATCAGCAAGCCAACGATCATGGAAAGTGGTATTCAAATCCATGCCTAGCTGTTAGTTCAACTGAAAACAAGCTTTCACGACCGGAATCCTGAGCAGTTTCATTCATGAAAGTGACAACAGGCGCTAGCCGACAGTCCACAACTCCTGAGTACATGTCGTCAACGAAAGTGACGAGCTGGGTGAGACAGCGCTCATCATCACAGCTGCAAAAAATGCAACGTTGGCCATGGGTGACTTTCGAGAAGTCGACGTTCCTGAGTTCAAAGTCCTGGGCTGCTGCTGTGAGGTCACTGCCGAAACAGCTCCCTGAGGAAGTGGTGACTGCAAAGTCTGAGCACTTCCAGCTGTATCCGAACCAGTCGAAACGTGATCCAGAGTTGCCTTAGTGCCAGGTCCTGCAGACCAATCCTGAGAAGTCCAAAGTTGGTCCTGATACGAATACCAATTCTTGGGATCTCATATGCACTTCTGCGCTGCCACGCACCTTTGCCCTAATCTCTCGGAGGCCAGAGCATCGTTTCATGTACGCTACAGCTTGACTTGTTGTTAGCATTGTTCTTACCATTCTGCAAGCCCCAGCACAGCTGGGTGCACTCTTGGCCTCATGTTGTGCTTACTCAGACTCCTCATGCTCGTGCCCCCTTGCCCTGCGCCTCCCCAAGCGATTTTTGTCCCGCTCGTTCACACCACTGTCTACACTTCAAACTTTTGGGAAGACTGTCTGACCCAAGCACATTTCAGGAGTGGTGTCTTCCATTACCTTCAGGCTGGCTAGACAAGATCACCTGCAGAAAGGTCAATCTATTTAGCTGGATATTTTTCATCAATATTCCACAAAAAAATGTGAATACTGTACCGGTTCAATCCTCTTCCCCAACCATTCACCAGTTATTTCTTCGCTACAGTTTTTTTGCCGGTCCACTTACGGGACAGCAACGACCCGTAAAGAAAACGAACCAAAAGCTGCATTGCAATCGCCGGATTGCAGGCTGAAGAGATCGACGAAATTTGAACAACATTTGTAGATAACGATTTTTGTTTACCCCGCTTAATACATGGTGATTTGCTATGGCAAGTAAGCCACTATGGACAGTAGGTGTGCTTAGTGAATGTTAAAAACGAAAGTTCTATATAGTCACAGTAAACGTTTGAAACTCTAGTTCTAGTCATAGTAAGACTTGGTAACCGAATGAACAACCAGGAACCGGTTCAAAAAGGAGGACTCGTTCCCCAATGCTATATATATATGTTCTGTGTAAGGTTGCTATTATTAATGGGTATCTATGGATAAACACATGTCATTTTTGTTTAGCATTAAACAAACAATGTATATATACATATATATATAGTTATATACATAGTTATATATGGTGGGCGACAATCTCGACCCATCCTCCATATGGAACATAACTCATTTAGACTGGGTCATAGTTCATTTCTATGGGGGATGTAGGGCGGTTTGTTGGATCCCATACATTCCCATACCATAGCCAGATTGTTGGTACGTATGTCTTATGTTGACAAACAATTACCCAGTAAATGTTGGCAAAATCTGGCTAACACACAACTTATCTACATGGGAACTTATCTACATGGATTTACATGGACGGGATATGAAGCTCCAGTTGTACCTGGACTTAAGCCACTTGCCCCACTGATAACCAGAGAGATAACCTACTTAGTACCTCGGCTAAGCCTCAAAAAGGGGGGCGGCGGCACCTGGGCGTTAGCCCATTTATAAAGTGATTGTATCATGTGTGTATCTGTATGTCCCCATGGCGTCTATTCAGATGAGTTCGATACTTTAAACATGTTTAATTCAAACCACAACTTGCTGGTGGTTTCAACCGCCCCGAAAAAATGGTCGTCATTGGAGATCATCATCGCATTTCTATGGTTGAAAATACACATGTAAAATCGCCACTCCGAAACCAGAAATTATGGCAATACTCCCTTCCGCGTAATACTAGAAACTTTCCGAACGAAACCCTGGTTTAGTCTTGGATCTATTCAATACATTAATTTTAGGGGCCCAGTTTTGGGTGGTAATGTTAGGGGGCCTGGATTCACGAAACAAAGCATTTTTTATCCGGTTACCTCCCGGCAAACATGGCGTGCTGGAAAACCCATCTCTTAACTCTAAAAGATGACTATCCCAGCTATGAACTATTCTTAGAGATACTTTCCATTGCCATGTTTGATGACCAGAGGATCATCGAAGAATTTCCACCATTTTGAGTTGGCACTGAACCTTCAACCCAAAAAAACCCAGTAAATCGAGATGAAGCTGCGCGTGTACGCATTGCATCGCGCTTCCCACTGTAGTTCGTGTTGTAGATCGTCTCCCTTTGCCTCCTGGAAGCGTCTCAGTTCACCCAGTTTTATTTTCACATATCTTGTCTCTAAACTTGTTTCATTATAGAAGTCAATTTTGCATGGTGTATATGTAGTTTTGACCTCTTGCAAAGAAACTATGTAAGCTAAGCAAGCTAAGTATAAGGTCATCACCTCTTACGACAGGTAGGTCCTGGCAGGCAGTGAAATTCGGTGACCCAAAGATGACGAAGAGTTGAACCCTGGACAATTTCAGGGAAATATCATATACCCATAGGTACCCCGTCCTCAAAACACGTTTCTATTTCTTGATCTTCCAGTATATGTATTTTTGGATATTTATGGAATATCGGAATATCCCACTCATCCTCATGATTTCCATTAAACTTAATTTTGTCTGGCTGAATGCTCTCTTAATCCACTATTAAAATTTGACCTAAGATAATTTTGGGATGGATCCCCTATCCAGGGAAGCATCATCTACAGTGTCGCCTTTGTGGCATGCCTACAGGCACCCTTACAACTCACAAGGTAGTGCCCTATAGTTTTCTAAGCCCGTTAACAACCAGGAATTGCAGCGGCAAACCTGCAGAATCACTGAAAAAGAACTGCTACATCTCACTGAAAGAACGCATGAACATGAATAATGAGGCCCTAAAGATCTTTGATAACATCTTTATCCACTGCTACTGACCATTTAATTTACTAGATGGAGGCTAAGATTCACAAACCATTATCCACAATTGGTGATGCCGCTGATTTGCAAATACGCTGGCTAAAAAAATTAAAAACAACCCCAGAAAAGTATTATATGTATATGTATACGTATATGTATATGTATATGTATGTACGTATGTACGTATGTACGTATGTACGTATGTACGTATGTACGACTGTACGACTGTACGACTGTACGACTGTACGTATGTACGTAGGTACGTAGGTACGTATGTACGTATGTACGTATGTACGTATGTACGTATGTATGTATGTATGTATGTATGTGTGTGCGTATGTGTGTGTATGTGTAACATGTGCATGTACATGTACATGTATATGTATATGTAAATGTATATGTAAATGTATATGTATATGTAAGTGAAAACGTAAATGTATATGTATATGTATATGTAAAAATATATGTATATGTATGTATGTGTATATGTGTATGTAAATGTAAAAGTATATGTATATGTATGTATGTGTATGTGTATGTATATGTAAAAGTAAATGTATGTGTACGTGTATGTGTATGTGTATGCGTATACGTATGCGTATGTATGTGTGTGTATATGTATGTATATGTCTGTAAATGTGTGTATATGTAAGTAAGTAAGTATGTATGTATGTATGTATGCATATGTATGTATGTATGTATGTATGTATGTATGTATGTATGTATGTATGTGTGTATGTGTGTATGTGTGTATGTGTGTATGTGTGTATGTGTGTATGTGTGTATGTGTGTATGTGTGTATGTGTGTGTATGTATGTATGTAAGTACGTACGTATGTATACATGCATGCATGCATGTGTGTATATGTAAATATAAATATCTCTATATATCTCTCTCTCTATATATATATATTTAGAATTGTATATAAACACTATTCTGCAAGTATCCAGTTGTATTGGCTGCATCCACGAACAGAATTTCCAGTGCAATTTGGCTTTCCTAAAAACGCTCATGGTTCGTCCAGCACATCCAAGTTATTGGTCACATGGACCGTGTGAGATGGGAACATGCGGGTTTGATCACCCGCTGAAAAACCACCATGAAAGGTCGCAACCATGAAAAACCTGGGTCAGGCCACTGTGAAATGGAGGTTTTATCACCATTGAATGTAGTCTTCAAACGCATGGGATGGGCATCCTCTTAATCACTGATTTCCCGGTGCAATATTTATGCAACTTGGATGTTTTAAAACAGACTCATTTTACTGGATGAATTCTCCATTTTGCTTGCGGCTCCTCCATGATCTTCTCAATACCTGACATTTTTTCACGCGGAGGTGGAAAAAACTGGGATTCTCATGATTAAAACTAGATGGGATCATGAAACATTACGCGGTGAGGAAGGTGAACGATTGGAAGGATCTTTGGTCAGATTGCGCCTCCTGGTGACGATTCGTAGCCTCTGGTCATCTCCGTTCATGGTCAAACAGAAAAAACAGCGATGATTTTCACAGCAAACCTCCAATTTATTTCACATAACGGATGTCATGGGACTTCCCAGAAAAAGTGCCATGCCAAGTTGTCTTGACAATACTCGGGTCCTTCGAGGACATGGCCCCATCGATAGGCCTTCATTTTTCCCGAGAGCGTCTGAGCGAAGCGTTCTTCTAATAGTAGGAGTCTGTCAAACATTTTCACATCGTCACAGCTGCTCATCTTCACATCTTCTCATCTTCACATCTTCTCATCTTCACATCTTATCACCTTCACATCTTCTCATCTTCAGATCTGCTCATCTTTACACCTTCTCGTCTTCTCATCTTCACATATTCTCATCTTCACATCTTCTCATCTACACATCTTCTCATCTTCACATCTTCACATCCTCACATCTTCACATCCTCACATCTTCACATCTTCACATTCTCTCTTGCCCTCTTGCTCTCTTGCCCTCTTGCCCTCTTGCTCCCTCCTGCTTTTCTATTTCTCTCTTAAGGCGCGGGGCAGTGCCAACGAGACGGCACGAAATGCAACCCTTTCGCACGAAACGAGGTTTGATCACCAAAAACTGAGGTAAAATTGCGATTTTACAACCTCGGCGGCAACCCTTTCGCACGACATGAAGTTCAATCGCCAAAATCTGGGGTAAAGTTGCCATTTTACAACCTCGGCGGCAACCCTTGCGCACGAAATGAGCTTCGATCGTCGCAAACTGAGGTAAAATGGCACTTCTGTGTGTAAAAGTGTCTGTGTAAAAGCTCCTGTGTGTAAAAGCTTCTGTGTGTAAAAGTTTCTGTGTGTAAAAGCCTCTGTGTGTAAAAGCTTCTGTGTGTAAAAGTGTCTGTGTGTAAAAGCTTCTGTGTGTAAGAGCTTCTGTGTGTAAAAGCGTCTGTGTGTAAAAACGTCTGTGTGTAAAAGCGTCTGTGTGTAAAAGCGCCTGTGTGTAAACGCTTCTGTGTGTAAAAGCTTCTTTGTGTAAAAGCTCCTGTGTGTAAAAGCTTTTGTGTGCAAACGCGTCTGCGTGTAAAAAGCTTCTGTGTGTAAAAGCGTCTGTGTGTAAAAGCTCCTGGACGGCCTTGGATGAAATCACCCGACAACACAATTACAGTTTCAAATCCATAGCTGCATGGCCTGTGGATGGTTGCCTTGTTTGCAAGCCCACAGAAAGGGCGGCTATGCTGCTTGGCAGCTTGCAGGCCGTTTGCAACTTGGGAGTCATCAAAGAAGATCTCGGCGTGTCTGTGACAGTGGTTGCTTCCATGTGCGAGACTGACATGAATGTACATGGAGCTCCATCGAATTGGAAGGATTACTTCCGTGAGCACGATGTAGTTCATATTCATGGTCAGCTGGACGACATCACAGTGAAGCAGCCGGGCCGCGACTTAGAAAGGCACAGAGGATTGCAAAAGAATTGCCTGTCCAATTGGAAAAGCATATGCTTCCAACTGTGGCAACAGTCAATCATTGCCGTCAACGCAGACAAGCAATGAAAATTTTGTTTCATTGCTTTGGTGGGATCAACCGCAGCGCTGCGGTTTTGTGTGCCTGGCTTATCGCGGCCAATGGCTACAGCGCGGAAGATGCGATCAAGATGTTGCTTACAAAGAGACCGTCTCTTCGCCCGTGGCGCCATCGAGACTATGTTTTGGAGGCATTGTGGATGGTGGAACAGCAGTGCTGTGAATGGCACCAGGATTTCAGACTTGGCGCGGCCTAGCTCTCATTTGCTTGTGCGCTGGGAGCCCTGAAACCGCAGAATGTTTCGATGTCAAAATGATGTCGAAAAGTATGTTCGTGAAGTTTGTTTAGTGCATCGGCATAAGTCAACCAGAACTGTCTGAGACTTGTTGATGCACGTAGTGCTTCCTTTCTCGCCATAGTGCATCAGCATAAGTCAAACAGAACTGTCTGAGACTGTGTCGTCTACAGTCGACTTTTTTGAATTCGTCGACAGTGAATAATGTTGCTGATTGCTTTTGCGCATGTAGTTGCATGGATCGATCTGATTTCTCATCCTAGATGCATTAGTGGGTAGCAGCACATGTAGAAGCATCTCTCAGCAACATTTTCGATGGCATTGCTTATCGTCACGCTTACCTACGTGACATCATGAGGCTGCAGGTTCTTGCTCACACGTGGACTGCGCTGTTGAAAAGCCGGCCCTTCAGGTTAGGATTGCAAGAATGCAAGCACGCATCGCAAAGTTTCTAGCAATCAAATGCAGGTCCCCAAAATGTTGTAGCTGTACTAACATCATGTCGCGCCTGGCAACTGATTGCTTTGCAGCTGCGGTGAGATTGCAATATACTTTGTTTCGAACAAATTCAATTGATTTGAACGATGCGCTGTTGGTATCCATTCATGACTGGATGGACGCCGGTTCGAGAGAATTGTGCATCTACGGCCAAATGCACATGAACGGCCCTCCTGAAATGGGCCGTCATTTCTGGGGCCATTTGCCACTATCTTGGATGCATGAGCTCATGCTGGGTTTCACATTGTATTACATTCTGTGTTCAAATGAAGAAGGAAGAGATGATGACAACCGCTTATGGGTCTTGGTGCTGAGGGATACTCGGCGGCAACGCCCACATCGTTGGACATGACAGCTGTCCATCTCGGCTGAAGATTTCAAGATACAGCTGTAGCGCATACAAGTCAACCGAAACTGTTCGAGACTTGATCATGCACATCTTCACCACAATGAATGAACACAAGTCAACAAGATTTGTCTGAGACATTCTCGTGCACAGTCGACGGTGAACAGAGTCGATGATTGCTTTTGCGTATTTGCGTATAGTTGCCTGGACCTAGAAGCATTTCTCAGCAACATGTTTAGGTCACGAACTTCACCCCCCTTCGGATTGCTGAGGTGGCCACGACAACGATGACTTCGCTGTGAGTGTGTGTGTGTGTCCTGGTGTCTGTCTGCGTCTCTGTTTGTGCGTCTCGTGTCTGTCTCTTTGTGTGCGTGTGTGTCTGTGCCTGTGTGTGTGTGGAGCATGTGAAGAGATGTAAAACTTCTCACTTGCACTTGGTTTTTCGCCTGAGGTTCTAATCTTAGTTTGGTTTTCAACCTGAATTCAACAAAGGTTTCCAATTTGAATTTCAGCAGGGGGTGCCGGGGGCACTGATGAGACCGGCACTAACAAAGACACTCATCAGTTGCCTGTGATATCGATGAGGACGCTCATCGACGTACCTGCTTCAATTTCATGTCCATTTTCTGCAATGGGACGTGGCTAACCCAAGAACCACCAAGCCGTTTCCAAACAATTTGTTTTCAATCTCCTCGTTTGCACGGTTTTCGCAATCTGAATTTCTGCCGACTATTTCAGATGGAACAGTTGCTTCTAGCTGAGGCCAAACATGGATTACTTTTCGATCTTTCTCAGATCGTGTCATCAATTCTCTCCTGTCAGGTTTAACTGAAGTGTTTTTGCACGTACGATGCATTCCACATTAATAATTCGATAAGCTATTTCTGAGCAGTGTGTGCGTGCGTGTATGTGTCTTCCTCTTTGTGTGCGTGTGTGTCTGTGCCTGTGTGTGCGCGTGTATGTGTCTTCCTCTTTGTGTTCTGTTTGTGTGTGTGCGTGTGGTGTCTGTCTGTGTACCGTGTGTGTGTGTGCGTGCGTGCGTCTGTGTCTGTATCTTTGTTTGTGCGTCTGTGTGTGTATGTTTTTCTTTGCTGTCTGTCTCTGTCGATCTCTCAAATTTTGTTTCTATCTTTGTCTACTTCTGCTTAGAATCTGACATAGCATTTCTATCTCCTTTCTGCTGATCATCTGCATCATCTTCAATGAAGCTTTCACCTGCAATGTCTTTGATGCTACCTACAACAGAGTAGCATGCTCTTCTACGCTCTCGGGCCATCCGTCGTCTAGTTTCGGCGGTTGAGCCATGCCCAAAATATCAATGGACTATGGCTGAACTTAGAATATCTTGGATACTGATTGCAAAAAGAACAATTTTTGCTCCATATTCAATATCTACAAGATTAGATGTACCAAAGATTATCTACAGATGATTGAAGTTCCCCAACTCTAACTGAAGATCTTTTTGGATTGTCAAGAGCTCGGATATGGAGGGCGTTCAGCAGCGATTTAAGACTTTCCCAAGTATGGAGATCAACCAACAAGAAATGGCTGGAACGTCGCTACAGGCCAAAAAAATTGGCCTTGGTGACTACAGCTAACCAGCTACATCCAATTGTTTGGGGTATCAAATCAATAGACAGACTTCCATTTTGGATCATGTTTGTGATAGGTCACAGATTGTTTCATCAGATTCATCAGTGAGGTAAAACACTTCTATTCAGCAGAGGTCAGGGAGGATATGAAGAACATAACATGGTCAGACAAGATTGTTTGACGAGGATTTACCATTCATCTTTTTGCAGGTACCTGCTTTCTTCCACAACAATAAGTCAAAGGTCTAAATGATAGGTCCTGAAATGTCCTGAAGCACCACCGCGAGTAGTTTAGAAAAACAACCCTCATGAATGTCCGGTAGAATGGTTGGTTAACAGGACCGTAACGATCTAGTGTATGGTAAACCGGGTTCAAAGTTCCCAAGACAGAAAGATCATCAATGTGGGCTTTGCCGCGGTATGTGCACCGCTGGCAAAACAGCTTTGGTCAGGTCGATGCCACCTCCGATAAGGCATAGAAGGAATTACTTCATACATGTGACAAGCAGAGATGAGGTGAGATGCGCCCAGACAAACATAGAGAGGCAGAAAGATGGACTAATAGATAGTCCGATAGAAAGATAGAAAGATAGAAAGAAAGAAAGATCCATAGACAGATAG